GAGAGAGGGCGAGAGTTCGAGGTCACGCTGGTCTCCACATGAGACAGGTAGGAGATGGCGGAGTCGGAGATGGTGGAGGGGCAGTCAATGACGCTTCTGATATGTTTGGCCCACCACCGCAGAATTTGTGTCTTCTTAGTGAGTAGAGTAACCCTTTCGGCGCTGAAAAGGAGGGCAGTTGCCTCGGTTGGCGCACCGTAAACAACCTTGATCGCGGAGAAGAAATTATCCCATTCGTTGCGATCCGCATAAGTTTGAATCTCCTCGGCCTTGCGAGCCGTCCAAGCATCCTGCACCTCGCGCAGCCGCCGTTGCACAAGACGACGACTGCGCTAGAAAGCTGCTTTGTTGTCGTCGGTGTGGTGAGTGACGTAGGATTTATGCAGTCGGTTCTCCTCGGCGAGGAGGTTGTTGATGGCGGCGTCGTTGTCATCAAATCAGTCCTGGTGTTGGCGTCGTGCGTGATCGAGGACAGCCAGGGCCGTCGACTGGACTGTGTCCCACAGGTGACACCATCAGTTTTCCACGGAGACGTTCTCGCCGTCGGCGGCAGCAGCGGCGGCGACTGGAAGGCTGGCTAGCCGTTGAGCGTGCTCGTTGCCGAAATGGAGATGGTGAACAGGCAAAGACAACAAAGCAATATTCTGCTTACCTGGTAGTTATTTAACTTGAGGTCTCCTGCGGGGTTGTAGGCGAACCCGCATCTTCGAGATGACGAGGTGATGGTTCGTCTACCTGTCAACACGCGGAATCGCCTTTGTCACCATCACGTCCCGCTGGTCTCGCCTCCGGACGTGGAAATAGTCCAGCAGGTGCCAGTGTCGCGACCAATGGGGCATCCACGTGGACTTCTCTCGCATCGGGAGGCGGAAGTAGGTGTCGGTCAGGATGAGTCGGTGTTCTGCGCAGATTCCTAGGAGGAGTAGGTCATTGTCATTGGAGCCGTTGAGACCATGGGGGCCCAGCACTCCTCTCCAGGCAGCTTGGTCTGTGCCGACGAGGGCGCTAAATTCACCAAGGACGATCAGCTTATCCGCCTTCGACACCGACGTCAGGAGGGTGTGCAGGTCCTCGTAGAATTTGTCCTTGCAGCGTCAGAGCTGGTCATCGGGGCGACATAAACGCAGGCGATGGTGGCAAATTTGCCTTCCCGGAGAGACAGAAGGAGGCTCATCAGGCGATCGCTAATACCCTGCGGCAGACAGAACAGTCGTCCAACAATGTCATTCCCGATGGCAAATGCGACCCCCGCGTCCAGTCGCTCTACTCCGGGGCGACCGCTCCAGAAAAAGATGCAGCCAGCGTCCGCCTCCTCCAGTTGGCCTTGATTGGAGAACCGGGCCTCACTGAGTGCAGCAATGCCCATCTTGTAGCGCGCCCAATTCCAGAGCCACTAGCGCCGTCCTCCGTTCCGGTCGATTGTTCCTGGGGTTGTCTGAAAGGGGATAATCATTCCGGGCTGCCAGAGTGAGCGGACCCACCCTATTAGTCTGGCGAGTGGGGCGGTGGGGAGGAGGAGGAGGGGGAAGAGTGTGTTGTCTCAGATTTGGTTGTTTCGACCGTGAGTTTTGCGTCTGAATCCACGGTCAGCCCGCTGACAGCGTGGACCTCCAGCATTTGTTTATGGCACCTTTTCTAACTTCTTCCCACTCGCGGGGGTGAGCAGTGCTCTCCCTGCATAGAGCTGCTTAGTTGTTTCTGACGGCGGCCGAACTTCACTATGGGCGACGACTTTTGTCTAGCGAAAGGACGACCGAGTTAGCCTGGACCTGCCTACAACACTGCTGTAGGACTTGAAGGGGGGAGTGAGTGGGATAGAGGAAGGGTAGGGAGATGGGAAGCAGACATTTCCAGCCTTTTTCTAAGCGAGCTGGTTGCTGAAGTATATAAGCGGTGAGAAAACGGATCTAAAAAACGGCAGTTAGCGTACGGCAAAGACAAAGAGGTACAAGCAAACTAAGGGCAGGCAAGCAAGAACAAGCAGAAGCAAAGGCAGACAAAGGAAATTCAACTGAACGACGAAGGACGAACACAAACAAGCAGTCAGAACGCAAGCAAACAAGAACAAGCAAAGCAAAGACGGAAAAGCTTACTGGGGGGTAACGTATCTTGTGGCCTCCGGCGATGTTGCAGATGCTGTCTCGTTTCGGAGATACCGGGGCGGGGATCCATCCCGCCAGCGGAGTCGAGGTACCTTATGCGCAGATGCACCCACGGATACCCTCACCTGGTTTAGCCTGTTGATCGAGATGATTACGAGGGTGTGGCCGCCACGCAGAGCCTAGCTTCGGGGAGCCACATGTGAGAGTTGAGCTAATGGACGCTAGGCGCAGTCAACACCTGCAAGCAAGTGAGCGACCTACTACGTCCGTCAAGTGGACCTACCTTGGAAACTCCTACTCACCGGGCATTAAAGGCAGGTGATACGCCTGTGACAGATTTATATCGGGACTCCTGGTATTGGTTCGCCGGTCTCAGTGCGGTCGACTTGCAAGTGACCAATCGGGTCGATGCGTGATGCGAAGGTGCGATGACAGTGGGGGCAGGCTAGGAATTCGTTTGCATTGCTGGTGGTGGCAGCATCGGTGGTGGGCGGCGGGACATCGAGCGTGTGCTCAAAGGTGGTTGGATTGTCGTCGCATTTGTTGCAGTTGTTGTAATATAGAGTGGAGATGAGGTGGTTTCTGAGACTGGGAGAGCACGTCCCACGTTGATAGCGCGTTGGACCCGGAAATGCTCCACGAGGCCGATCTGTTCGTCCAGTGTCCACTGACATCGAAGACACTATTGAAAAGGATTAGGTGTCGGAATTTTTTGTTCCGCGATGTCACGGACTTAAACGCCGCTCTTGTGGTTTTGCCATCCGCGATACGGTTGTCTCCTTAAATTTCCGCTGCAATCCATACTGCGGTTTGCCAAGCCGGTCGATCGTGGACAATGTAATCTCAGGTCTCCGGATTCGTTCGTAAGCTCTTGAGGGAGGTCTATAGATTGTCCTTGTAGTGTCGCTTCCGTCATCCCTGTCGACAAGCATTCGTGGAAACATCGATTTTAAATAGTCGTTTGGGTAGGCGTTCGTCATCCACCCTCGCGACGTGGTCGCTCTATCACAGTTGTATTTGCCTCAGCATAGCTAATTAGCTGACAATTCCGGTCAATTCCAAAACCTCACTGTCAGTATCCCGCCTAGCCATCCCAGCCTGAGTCTTCATGGAATGCAGCTGAGATAGAAATGGTTGAGTTTTCGTCTCGGTCGACATAGGCCGTCCAGGTCTCCATCCCCTAAAATAGCGTCCTTAGGACTACAGCCAGTCCATCTTGAGTTATGTGCTGGGGTGGAGGGCACAGCATTGCCAAACTGAAGCCTACAACCCGCCGAAGGCCTGGCTTGTTTGAGAAATCCGGTTTGTCCTTTAATCGTCGATCCTGACGCTGTTCCAGCTTACGTTTCATAGGTAGGCGGATTTTTCACTGATGCGAGCCGACTTCCGTTAACGTTGATCCTTGGCGAAGTGTTTTTTTCCATTGGTGCTCGTTGACGCATGACCACATTTTGTCTGCACTGACGGCCAGTCCGAAGTTGACGCAGCCAGTGACGATGAAATCTATGCTTCTTTGCATACCCACCTCTGTCGTGGCGCCGAGTGCAGAGACGTCCGCAAAGAGAAGATCATCGGCAATGGTTGTGTATGTTCTCGTGGATGCCGGGATGTGTCAAATATTGAGAAGCCGGCCATCGGTCCTGTAAGAGCTGTTGCTCGCATGCACTCCTCGCAGTAGGCCTTCATCAGCATGGAGGAGGGCATGAGGCTGAAGAGGGTGGGAGCGAGTACACAGTCCTGCTTCAGTCCCCCGGTCACTGCAAACGCGTGTAAGACTTGCCCGTTGTCCCTGATGTGAGTCAGCTTTCTGTCATGGGGTTGTCACACCATTTGGGAAAAGTGCACGAGACACCTAAATTGTAACATTGCTTTTCATAATCCGTTGCTGTGGGCTGTGTCGGAGGCCTTGGTTAGATGGAAGAAGGTAGTGTAGGAGTTGATCGTCACCTTCTGGCATTTCTCCTGTGGCTGACAGACCGCGAAGTTTATACCAATGGTCACGTGGCTCCTTCGACACCTACATTGGATTCCTGGGAAAAGTCCCCTCTACGGGTACATGTTCAGACGACTGAGAAGGCACGGTTGAAAATTCCTCCTTCAGTGTTGGGCAGCGAGATACCTCCGCAGGGTTAACGGTTTCACTTGCACTTGTACGGGTGGACGATGAACATATATTTGAAGTCCGGAGGGATTTAACCCTCGTCACTGAAGTCGGCTTGTTTATCGGACGGGGGGAGGAATTGCGTCGGTTCCTGGTCCTTTGCCGCTGGACATCTGGTGTGCGCCTCTCATAGTCCCATGCAGCGAGGAAGGACGGTCCCAGGTTGGTGTTGGACTCCACCTGAAATAGCTCGTTGATAGCGTCGTCAGAGACTGTGAATGGCTAGTTCAGGTGGTTTCTGAGGGGCTGTGGGGGCAGGGCAAACAGGCAAACCGAGAACTACATCGAAGACGCTGACCCGCCGACAAGTTATGTGCCAGAGTGGTGAGGAAATTCCTTTTTTTCTTCCCGTTAATCAGTGAACTGGATTTCATTTGAACTGAACTTTCTTTCATTATTTCCCTGACAAAGTTTCGATTGCCAATGAAGTGATTTTATCTGGAAGCATTCAGTTTCTGCTGAATCTTACCGCGACTTGTGTTCGTTGATCATGACCTTACTCTAATTAGCTCAACCATGGAAAAATTCCAAAAGACGCATTTCATAGCAAAAGTTGTGTACTAGGCGGCTTTGTTATAAATTATTACCTTACTTCGTGATTTGTTTCTTGACTAGCCACCATGCGATCGCACGCGTGAGCCACTGAACCCCAGCTTCGGGGCTGGAATCACATGTCCATTTTATCCTGCAATCAGGAGAGATCTGTGTTCACCACTCCCCCCGCGTGTGTCTGAATAGTTCCCCTCTCACTCATCATGACGCGAGCCTGCAGAGCAACGGTGGGGACATCACCGACATCAACCCCTAAACGTGCACCATTAGTTGATGTTTGCAACAAGCGGAGAATTGTAACTCCGGAGTTCCTGTCTTTGTTAACATAACTCCTTGAATACCATAATTAAATTAAGGAGGCAGCAGTCAGTATCATACCTGCATGACATGCGAAAACACCCACATTGCTCCTTAAAAAGGGTGCCTGAGATGCTTCTGTTGCTAACCTCCCTCGGGCAGCCATTTTGTCCTATTTCGAATATGTTTTTCTTAGATCTTCAGGAATCTAGAGGGCTTCTATTGCGCAAAATAACAGCAAAATAGAAGTAACCAATTCACAATTCACTGAGCCCAAGAATCAAATAAACTCCCAATTTTTAAAGTACATGTCGCTAACAAGCTTTCGCATTTTCAATTGAAGCCATGAAATTAAATTCCTGAAATAATAGATTGGCAAAATCTGAAGACCGCTACCTTGAAAGGAGGCGCCATAATAAGTAGTCTTGTCGAAAGGTTGCGGTCTTAGCTACGATCCTTAGAATCTAAATTTTTTTGAGACAGCACTGGGGTGTTTCAGGCACGCTTTACGTAACCGTGGTCTGACAGACAAGTGTGAGTCTCCGATTCGGTAACAACGTTAAGGTCCAGACCGTATTTAATACAGCTGCCGCCTATAAAACAGAATTCATTTGTCTACCGCTCAAACTCTCACCACGACTTACCGCTTTTCAGTGGAACGGATGTGATAGACTACCATTAAAATTTGGCTTAAGAAAATCACCGAGACTTTGCGCCAGCCAGAAGCGACGCAGAAGTGCACGTGTGGCAGCTGTTAACCTTAAGTAATTCAATTAAAGACTTTGTTTTGGTGGTATCTGCGGTCCGGTACATCGAAGTCACCAAAAATAGCTGTGTCAACTCGCTGTAAGTTCGCATTTAAATGGAATTTGTACTCTCAAGGAGTGGGTAGTTAGTTAATTCATTCCGATTTTAGTGTTTGACTGAGGAGTAACTGCATCTACCCCCACACGGGCCCCGCGTGATTATCCAGACTCTCAAGCTCGTCTCAAGAGAGCGCAGTAATGGTTAAGTAAGACTGAACTGTACATGTAAATGATAATGTCGCCCATGGTCCAACTAGCAGACCCCAACTTCCATGTGACTGGAAGTCCGTTGTGTTGATTGTTGAGATGATACATGTTGCACCTAAAATTCGGTAAGCACAAAAATCGCGTTCATCCAGAATGCCTGAAGAAGGTGGCGCTGCTATCTTAGCTTAGGAATGCCATCGTGACATCGGACTTCTGCCACGTTACAGAAGGGATATGGTGG